CACACACACACACACACACACACACACACACACACACACATCAATTTCAAACAGATGGTATCGGTATTGGCCAATACTGCACAACCAGGTATAAAGTATCGTATCGGGGCCAAAAAATGGCATCGGCGCAACACAAGTTTTTAAGCAGCAGCTCTAACAGAGAAAAGAAAATTGGTTATAATTCTTATCAGCAGGTCAAAGGTTTAAAACAAAACAGGAGAAAAGGAGGATTGAAAAGTCAACTCACCAGAGATTTCTTCTTCTTCCGGCTTAGGCTGCCCGTCCAATCACTGAAGCGTCTAATACGGTTTTTAATGGAGTCTTTCTTATTGAAAACAAAGTCCTGCCCAGTGTTCTCCTGCTGCTCTGCCTGGTCTTGGTACGGGTCCATATTTGAACCGATGGTATGAGCTTTAGGTCTGCGACAAGGCAAGGTAAAAGAGGAATACTGACGCGGTTCTGTACAGTCTTCCACCAAAGGAACGTCCAGCACAGATGCGAGAGAGGCCCGGTGTGGCCTGCCCAACAGAGGCTGCTGTAGCTGGGAGGACAAGCCACTGGCTGTAGGAAATGTAGCAGCCATCGTGGAGTTCCTGTAAAGCTCTGCATTACATGGTGTAGCAGGTTGTTCTGTAAAGGAGTCAAGCCGATGTGTGGGAGAATGATCCAGTGTCCTGCTGGCAGAACCAAGCTGCTCCTGATCACAGAGCTCTGTCCCAGGGCCCCATGGGGAATCATACCAGGAGCCTTCAGAGCTTAGTGAGCTTCCTTTGCTGGTCCTGGCAGTGGAGGAGGTAGAAGCTGGTGGCGGACCACCCCGATGGCCATCCTGCATACCCACCCTGGAACCAGGTAGGCTTGAAGTGGAAGTAGCCTCCAAATTAGGAGAGAACTTGAGGAGCTGGACCGGACCAGAGGCCTCATCCAGGAGTAAGGGGTTTCCTGAGGAGTTTGTGAACTCCACCCTGAGAGAACCATCTTTTTTAATCACCACTCTTGGACTGCTCTGTTCCTCTAAAACATCCTCCTTGTCCCCATGTCTATTCTGAGAGTGTCCATCAAGCTCAGCCCCATACGGATTCTCTTCATAATCATCTGACAAATGTCGCCTCCGGATTCCGCATCCAGGGGAGCGACGCCAGTGATGTTCAGGGCTGCCACTCGCTCCCTTGCAAACATAGTCGCAGCGTTTGGTCGAGTACGACTGTCTGCTTTTAGGAGGTGACAAACAGCCGTGACCAACACACCTCGCCTTGTACCCAGAGCCAAGTGGGGTGTTTTTCCACCACGTGTGTGCGGAAAGAACTTCTTCTTTGGCTGAGCCAAGTTTCAGTGAATACGGCTTTTGTTTCCTTGAGAAGATGAAGCTTGTGCCTTTCGGAGTATCAATGCTGTACTGGCTTTCTGAATTCCCCATCCTGGACTAGGAAAAAAAAATACAAACAACCCATAAGGCCACCTTTACTAAATTAATAGAAACTCATACAAATCTAAAATTGACATATACACCTGCATGCCATTGAATTATAAGTGAAAAGTGATCTTATTTAGAAACCTCTGTTCAAAAAGCAGCACTTTTTAGATAGTTTCAGGTTAAGTTATTGCTCACATAGTGGTTATTTCTGGACATTTTAATCCTCTTGACGTTAAGTTAATTAAACAAACAACAAATACTTTTCCAAATATTGTCAAGTTATACCTTAGGGTATGTGTTGACATATGACATATGTGGCGAATTGACACATGTGCTCTAGGACAGCAATTTACTGAGTATGAACACAAAAGGTCACATCATACAGACAGAGACTGATTTATAATGAAGTGATTCTGTTCTCGAGTGAATGAGCTTCATGTCTAAAGTGTTCAATGTGCCTTTAAATGAGGTCAGGAAAGAAGTATTTGTACCACATCTGGTCATTTTATAATATTCTTACACAGAGGACCCCTGTGAGACAAACACGTTTCAGGATGTTAAGGTCATTAAATGTGACAATGCACAGGACGACAAGAGCGGTCTTCCAGCCTGCATGGTTTCAGAGACTCAGAGCCTCGATCAGACCCAGATTACATTACCGGACTGCACAACATGAATGGCAGGAACTGCTCTTACATAACAAATGCAGATCAACCCCTTTAGACGACTTTAAGACTTTAAATTAGCTCGCCAAGCAGATTAGGGACAAAGAAGCTGGACATTTGAAGAGCAAGAAGTGTTTGCCATTGCATGCATGCAGATGAATAATTATTGACAAAACGCTTTTAAGACTCACCTCTCTGAAAGCCTTGTTTCACGCTGTAGATGTTACATGTTCCTAATTTCCCAAAATAAACTCATTGCTTGGTTGTGTGGCTCACCTGGAACACAGATGAAGAGGAGGAATTAGTCTTTCTGCTGCACTGTAATTTACTCTGTGTAATGAGCTCTGCGTTTCAAAATGGTGCAGAACTTTAAGAGCAAACCTTAATCCTTTGCTTTTTGCTAAGGACAGTGTTTGGCACTGGCTGTTATACAGGAATACAGAAATCAGCAAAGGAATAAAATTAAGAAAAGGGTAAAACTGGCTTTAAAATGCGTCACAATTGTTTATTTGTAAAAAGAAATCAGGCGGAGCTTCTGAGAAACAGACCATAATGGAGAATTGCATGGAATTTCACCCAGGATAAACTCAGGATAGACTATATGACATAGCTGGCCTGGAAAAATTCAGCCCTTCCCTCTCAATCTAACTCTCCCTCATCATCCATCCAAAGCAAACATATGTTGCATTTTTCCACCTCCCTACACATAAATGACGTCTCTTTTCATCAGGTTTGGGAACGTTTTTCAAAGTCGACTACAGTTTAACCGTCTGTTTATTTTTAAAAGTTGGATTCCTCTCACTTGCTCCGTTTTCTTTTTTTTTTCTCCCCCTTCCACTCAGCAGTGCCAGATTTATCTAAAGCACGATCCAGGACATAGGACGCAAAAAGGAACGATATTTGTGGAGATGCCAAAGTACTTTTCGGCATGTTGAGGAAGCATGAATGTTGTGTGTAACATAAGCCAATTGCACAGACTCATAGTGGTAAGTCTGCTGAGCTTTGAAACACATGAACAGCATGTGTAAGGTTGCAGGGTAAATATACCCCTGCCAGAAGCCCTAAACTTCTGGCTTACATGATCTGCACCACTGCGGTAGGAGTTGAACTGCTTCTGTTTGAATAAACCTTGACTGTTTGGCAGGATTTAAACAGCACTGGCAGAATAAATGGACTGCTGTTTAAAGACTGTACTTCAGATGTGAATCTGGGAAGTAAATTCCACAGTTTTCTGTCCTCAGGTCCTGAAGTTTGAGGACTAGAAATAAGGATGCCTGGATGCTCTGCTTCTGCCGTTGCTTTATCAGAGAGCAGCACCTGATAGTCCAGTGGAAACTTGGCAGCAGACATCAAAGTCGTAGGGAAACTGCCGTTCTTAAAGGTTGCATTTCCAAATTCTCCAGAGTGATGCCTGAGTTTACACCATTGAATAAAGTGAATGTGATTGGTAATTTATCAAGAGGGCGGGTTGGTTGTGGCAGAAGGTTTGCAAGCAAGTTTGGTTTTGGCCGGTTTTCTCTGAAGCATCTTGCTAATCAGTTGGCAACTTAGTGCTAGTAGGTTCCCAATGAGAAATTGCATTGGGACCAAGTAGCACTAAATTGGTGACTTAGAAACGACACTGTCAAGGAATGCTATGGACAGTGGAAACATGCAGGAGGAGGAGAGTTTTGTGTCGGAGGTCGTGAATGAGTCTCCACCATCATACATTTTTTATTTAGAGGAGGAAAGCGGGGACGAAGTTGTTGTGGAAGAGGACGCCTGGGTGGCAGAAGCTTGGTTTGGTGTAGAAGGCTTACAGCCATACATGTTTGAGCCCTTGCCTGGAAACGCTGCCAGTTCTATTAGCTCTATGCTGAAGACACAGATGTCCATCCCCGTGAACACTGGGATGGAACTCAATGGGAATGTAAATTATTCTTATTTCAACCGTTGCGTATATTAGCTGCAAAATATGAATCAAAATGCTATGACCGAAAATATGTGATTGACAGACGACCGTTGATATGTGATTGGCCAAATTTAGGTGTACAGGCTGACGTATAACTAACTGGCCTGCATAAGATAACGGGGGGAAAAAAACAGATATTAAGAGAAGACTTTTTTTTTTTTAAATAGAAATTTTCTAACTTTTGGGACAATATCTTCTGATAAAGAGTACATTTAAATACATGTTTTAGCCAGAATGATTTGACATTTAAATATAACTTCCCTATGACTTTAAGGTCTGGTAATGAACTAGAACCAGCACTCTGTGCTGATCAGGAGATTAACTAAACACTGCTTTCATTCGTTGCGAGTCAAAAGGAGCAGAGACTAAAGTCAAGCAGAACTGATCCTGAAAGAAGGACAAACTATAATTCTGGACCCACTGATTAAAGCCGTGAAACACGAACCAATTTCAGCTTGTTTGAGAGGTTTCAGTGCGAATATCACAGTTTCCTTTATCAATTTAAAGGAAGAAGAGATTTTTTTTCTTACTTAATCTTACATATGTTGTGGAAGTTAAGGCATAAGTGTTCAAAAGAGTGGTCCCCAATTCTATTTGTTGAATGAAGACTGAGCAAGCAGTAGCCTATGACACCAGAAGTCAACATAAAGACTGTTGTTGAACTTGTCACAGCTACTGCCTTCTTAAAGCTCTACTGTTGATGCCTTTCTTATAAAAGTCTTTTCAGCAAGAGCAGGCCAGCGAGTATGAAAGGCCCGAAGGCGTGCCGACACAAAAACCCCTAAGATGCACACGTTTGCCGTCTGCTGCGAATCGAAATAGCGTATTGTGTGACCTCACTGGGAAAAAACAAGACACGTCTTCCTTTTTAGCAGAAAACCACTGCACCCAGCCTTGAATTCACCCTCCCTTGTTCCCTATAGCCCTCTGTTCTCACCAAAAAAGGCTTCCTAAGGGCCATCTGCTTTGGGGCCAAGGGACCACTGCCACCCCAGTGCCCCTCCAGACACCCCGTGACCTGGCATTCTTCTCACATTGCCCCTGGGTGACTCCTACGCAAGCCCTGTGTTTAGTCTGACACTGTGTTTGTCTCCAGACAGGGATGCTGGTAAAGAATGGGCCACACCTAGCTGAGGAATAAACACAGAAGGTGCTTCAAGTGTCATGGATATAACTTTTTTTTTCTGCTTAAAGACCACCTTGTCTTCACTGAGCTTCACCTCATTTACACAAACATGCGCATGACAATGCTAAAGTTGAATAATCTTCGTTTTGCTCCCACCTATTACACAAATCCAGTGTCCCTCTAGTCTTTACTTAAATTAAAGCACCAGTCTAATACAAATAACGCAGGGTGACCTCTATAGTAGTAAAAGCTTCACTAAATAATTTATATCAAAGCGTCAAAGGCAATTAAGATGGTTTGAGATCCTCCTGGGAAGACTAGAAATGTGTTTTATTTAAGAATAAAAAATATAATCAAATAGGGATTTATCAAGGTTACATTTTTACGACACTTTTATTCAAACATAATATCAACCAGAGACAAGACTTGTCTGTTTAAATCAGGAATCAAAGTCTTACTATTTGTTTCAACTTTTTCAAAAGAGTAAAAAGATAATTCTTTTAGTTATTTTTATCATCAGCAAATTTTTTTTTCCATCATTTTAAATTAGCTGATTATTTCACTGTTTCTTCCTTTTCATGAATTGAAGTTTATCTTATCCAAGTCTGTTCTTGTATGTTTAAGCCCCTATATAAAAATGACCTTTCCCCAGACGAGCCATGCTTATATGATCCTGTTTGAGCCAAAGTTTAAACAGTTTTGTAACCAAAATCGAGAATGTTATATTTAGGTTATTTCTTTGAAAAAAAAAATCTGAACTGAAAAGTGCGAGTGAATGATTCTCTATTAGTTTTATGCATTTATGATCTTGCAGAGATACAGCTATTAAGTCACATGTTAGAAGAAGCTGAATCATGCTGCCTTCCTACTGTCAAATTACAGCCCTGTGACTCTTATCACAGAGGCTGCAAAAACAAAATTCTTAAAGTGACAGGGTTGTTTTAACTTTACAACTTGAGAAGAAAAAACCACAACAGGGAAGCAGGAGGTGCAACGCTATGTAACTGAAGCAAAGAATATCCCATCTCCTGCTGTGATTCTGTCATGTGAACAAGAGCCACAAGGCTGTTTACTTACGAGTAGAAATGTCTAACTATGAATCAGTCACTAAAAGCTCATATTATGGTGTAGTAGATTTAGCCAAAGCCACTAAACATCTATTGGAATACTTTTTAAGTGTTTTTCAGTCTTTCCTCATTATGCATTCTGAAGCCTAGTGGCTGGCTACTGACCAAAAGTGACATGGCAGCCCCTAGCAAGAGATTTATACACGTATGCTATGAGGATTGCAGTGAGACGAAGAAACATTTAAAAAATGCATCCATGTATGCAGGATGCCTTGGTGACATGTATTTTTTTTTTTCAAAAACAATGTCCCAGGCCAAAGTCTTTAAATTGTCAAAGCTTCTGTTAGAATGAGCATATTTTTAAAGCAGCATGCTTAAGGATCCACGACAAAGTAGGAATTTTTTTTGTTTTTTACCAGATTTAAATGGGATTCACGGGGAAAAGCATAAAGCATTTCACACCTGTGCACCTGAACAATAGGAAATAACCTCCTCACCTTGACTGTCTCTCTACTCCCACCCAACAGCAGAAACGAAAGGACAGGAAGACGAAATAAAATCTATGAAATGGCTTACCTCTGTGGCACAGGCTTTAATCTAGCAGCTCTTTGAAGAGCTCACAAACTAAAAATCACACTGGTGTTCCCTGGCTTTCAAAGTGGATTTTGTCTACCAGTGCTCAATTGGTCTTAAAGCAGCACACACACACACACAAGCATCTGACTCACACTCACCCAGACACACTGGATGACACGTGGAAACTCCCTCCCGGCTTTGGGGGAGCAACGAATCACAATCCTCCAAGGGTGGCCCTTAGTTACACAGCGCCAGGAGGACAAGACACCAAGAAGTTTTATAGCCTTCATCTATTAGGAATCCACAGCAGAAAAAAAAAAAAAAAAAGCTCCACTGGGTAACTGCTTTCTCTTTTCCATCATCCAGCTTTTCCGTTACCAGGGAGGAGGAGGATGCAGGGTTTGCAACAGTCAAGTTTTCTTTTTCAGGGTGGTTTGTGGCATTCGCGAGACAAGCTGGCGTGTAATGGCTGCAGCATTGCTTGGGAGGGCGCAATGACTGGAGCTCTTGTCTGACCTTAAATACCACAATGACCTCAGGAGGAGGCCAGAGAGGCAGCCAGGGAAAAGGAAATAAAGAGTGTGTGCTTATAAGTGTCCCATGAGTAAGAGTAAGGGAGGGGGGGTTAAAAAAAGACCAGGGAGTGGTTAGAGGTGATCAAGAGTGAGGGTGGTAAAAAAAGGAAATTGTACAGTAAAAATTGGACTCAGAGATATTCCTAATCTTTTTGGATTAAATCTAAGAAAGATTTTTGATCAAAGGCAAATTGCAGAACAGAAAAAAATGCAGAAAATGTTCCAACTGAGACTATAAACCATCAGACCAGCAGCACACACAGATGCATTCATTTGTCTCTGAAAACAATCCCCACAGCATAGAGCAGCCACTACTGTGCCTTTAATCATATATTAATAATTGAACTTAACATTAACTTAATTAATCTAACATTGGAGAAATTTACCTCTGCATTTAAACTAACCAACCCATTGTGTGACGCCCGGGGAGCAGAGTGGGGTTAAGGGTCTTGCTTAGGAACCCAGAGTGCAGGCTGTGGGAATCAAACAGGGTACTTGCAACCTTATTAGAGCACAAGCGTACTGCTCTAACCACTGGACAAACACTCCCCAAAAAATTCACTCTCTGCATTTAACCAATTCCCTTGGGGAGCAGTAGGCTGCCATTGTGCAGTGCCCGGGGAGCATTGTTGGGTTACGGGTCTTGCTCAGGGAGCCAGAGTGGCAGTCTGTGGAAGTGGGGATTGTACTCAGAACCTCTGGATTCCAAACTCAACGCCCTAACCACTAGGCCACCACTCCCCTATATTGTTTGCAGCATCAGACCTGCATTTAGTAACATCTCTCTTCTATCTTTATCTGTTTTTAGAATCTGTTTTAGCGGCCATTGAATTTATTGTGGATTTTACATGTACTACTTGTTGCTCCTCAGTCATTTTTCTCTCTTCTTCGTCCATCGTTTACATCACATTTTGTCCTTCCTGCCTCCAACTCCCGTGTGGCACCACACACTGGCATAGCATAGGTATTACAAACGTATTAAAGGAAAAGTCCGGTCATATTCAGAATTAAAACTTCCGAAAGTATTTTAAATATAAAATTATTACATAGTGTTGATGATAAGTGATAAGTGTTTTTAATGAAGAGTAACTTTTATTTGAATATGCTTTACTGGAGGCATCCATGTTTGTCAAAGAACACTACTGCCACCTACCGGTTTGTGACATCACAGTGTGGTATCGGTTGATGAGCAAGTCCCAATGCTGTATCTGGTGTTTGTCACAACGCGCTATTAGTTTCCATTGATTTTGCTTGTAAAGCAGGGAGAAGAGCGCTAGGTTTACCGCACTGTGACGTCACTGCTGGAAGATGTCAGGAGTGAGGTGTTACTATATTTGGGCAAAAATGGCCGCTCCCAGACTCATTTTTTTGCAATGAAAAATACTTTTAATTTTTTACTGATTAACACTAAATAGATCAAATCACCGTAAACATATTAGTTTTAGGTATAGATAACGATCCATTGATTATTCCTTGTTGACCAGACTTCTTCTTCAAAGCTACGTCAGCCTCAGGCTGCTTTCGTCGACTTTTCATATATTGAAAAGCATCCCAAAGCGCGTCACAAAGCCACGTTTCACCATCAGGAGTCTTTTTTTTAGGAGGATGTGTGGTGATAGACTTTGTTCTTATCTCACCTTTGAACCTTAATAAACATGTTTTTCTGTGTCTAAAATATTACTAATGACAAAATGAAAACTAATTCAATCCACATCAGATTTTTTTTTTGTATTAAAGTTGATTCATTTTTCCTCCAGAGCTCCGAGCTGGCTCATCACATAAACTGTTCCACTAAAATTACACAAGAGGGACCAGAGTCAATTACATATAATCTTTTTGAGCAAAGGCCAATTGCAGCACATAGAAATTAGGAAAAAAAAAATCATATTCTCCAAAGTATTGTGACTAAGACTCCTCTCAGTGGAAATTGACCCACCGCCGTCAGCTTAAAACACACACATGCCTCCATCGTTCTTGGGTTCACATAACTGTGGTAAAGCTGGACCCATCCAGAAAGCCACACTAAAACACAAAACAACATCAGAGCTGGAGAAGTCCGACAAGAAGGCGTTCGCCTGCCAGTGGTTTGTGTCTACTTGAATCAACCTTACAACTGAGAACTGCTTAAGCCTCTGGTCAGTTCCTGAAGCACTGAAATGCTCCCCTCTCTAAAAAAAAAAAAAAAACATCATCTTAAATATGCCTATCTATGTCAGGCTGTAAAAACAGCTGTCGAACAGCATTCAGCCAGCCTGCTGTCAAAAGAAGCATCAGCAGCGTTCACCAGGACTAAACAACATTGTTAACAGCACAATAGTTGTAGTGGCCTAGTCTGGGCTCTTCTCAAAGGCTTTTGTGTTCCCAGGCAGCTTACAGAGCGCTGGTCAACAATGAACTTCAAGCAACTGAGACACATGAAAAACATTCAGACGAAGAGAGAAGTCAGATAGGATGAATATTCATAAAGAGCAGGTGCAAGATCTAATTCCAGCAGGCAAATAGTCTGACCCCCAATTATTATCAATTAAGGCTCCAATAAGCTCTAATCTCCTGAGGTGAATTAAAACGCATTAAAAATAGAACGGATGCAAAAACACACACAAGTTAATTTCAATTCTCATCTCATACTTAGAAATGAAAGCAGCACAGCAATTTAAAGGTTGATTAAAAATACTAAAACAATGCAGATGTGGACTCGTGTCCAAGTAATATAAAGTGAGGAATTTAATGTAAGTGTTTGAGGGCTTTAACACAGGATTCAGGGTCTTTAATCCTTTAGGGCAAGTTACCATTTTTGATCACTTTCATCACATACCCCTTACAAATGGAGCCCCCCGGTCCCTTAGTGACGTCTAGAAGCACAAGATCTATATCCAGCCTTTCAGCATAGATCCTGCTACATGGCTCTACATCTTATTTTGGCATTTGACCAATTAGATGAGCCACAGAATGATATATTACCTACTGTAAATTAGTTAAATTGGGTTAAAAAAAAATCCCAACAAGTCGAGAAAAAAGGTAAGAATTTAATTGAAAAGTTAAAAAGTAAAACAAGTTAATAAGGCTAGCCTATTTAGGTTTATAAACAAAAAAAAATGTAAGTGCCAGTATCAGCATTAATGCCTCTAAGGTTATGTTGTACCAAGTAAAAATGTGTTCCTTTCACTATAGAGTGCACTTTTGTTATACATTCGGGCAAGATGGTGTTTCTTGTTATTACATTGACATTAATTTTTGTCATCAAAATATCCATATTTACCAAGATTTACCAGGATTTTCCTGGATTCCAATAACACTATCAGCTTGAAATGTTGTTTTTCAAAGTATTTCACTGAGCGCCCTATAAAGGGTTAAGAGAATAATGCTTTGAAATACTGCGATGGACTGGCGACCTGTCCAGGGTGTACCCCGTCTCTCACCTATACACAGCTGGAGATAGAGATCAGTACCCCTCGAGACCCCGCCTGGGATAAGCGGGACGGAAAATGGATGGATGCTTTGAAATACTGTCAATTCTCCTCAACATGAGATCTAAAAGACTTCTGATGGCCTGATATTCCCTACTGTAATGATAATGAGACTCAATCCATATCCCCCACACGATGTCTCTAACTTAAAGGTCACCAACACTTCACCATATGCCACCCAACAGAGTGTTATACCATAAACTGCTTTTTAAAGAAAATCTTATTGTAGATTCAACTTCACTGGACTAAATGTTTGGTAATATGGGTGTTAATTTACAAATCTAAATAAAGTATTCCTTATTGGACCCTGCTTTTGTTTCGCACACCACCCTTGTATGTAGGCCTTAGTCCTTGACATGGCCGACCCGGATTCTGATCTGACCTGTGGTCTTTTGCCACATGTCTCCTCATCTTCAAAAAAATAGAAAGTATTTGATCTGCCATTTTCCAGCATGACTGGTCCTGCTGGTTACCAGCGATAATCTGAAACCAACCAGTGACACCAGCTGTAACATTCTGCAAAAGGAAGTTTAAATATCAAAGAGATTAAAATCAGAGAGTAAAGTGATGGAAGAAGCTTTTTACAAGGCAAACGAATTTTCTACATTGTGTTGAGATGTAGGGCTGCAACTAACGATAACAGCAGCAGAGGTGAGTAAAGTACCCAAACATTGTAAACAAGTAAGACTAACACTACTCTAACATTTTTTTTGTATTCAAGTAAAAGTAAAAAAAAAGTATTCGGTAAAGAGGCTGCGTATTGAATAACTGTTGGATAATAACATCAGATTTAATGTTTTAATGTTTAAAACCCTGTTATTACTACTGATCTCTATTTATTCACTGGATTGCTGATTGCCTTAAAAAGTGAAGCCACTGTCCACCATGCTGGTACTCCCACAGAGATGCACAGTAAAAGTTCCTATGTGTGTCGCATTTGGCTGCAAAAACAAGCAGTTTGCCACCTGTGGGAAGTTGTTTCACAATTAATTTCTTAGTCAGTTGATGTAATAACAAAGAAAATCCATATACACACCGATGTATCCTATAGTATAGTATGTAAGGTAACATTAGTCTGGCTATCTCGGACCGACTCGAAGACATTGACTGAGTTAGGTTTGACATTGTGTCTAACTTTAGAAAATAGAAAGTAGAGTAAATAGAGATAATTCATTGTGAAATGTCAATGTAGTCTTCATTAAGTGGATGATGCCGTCGTTCCTGTAGTGTTTGTGGTATTTCTCATTTAAAAAAAACTTACGTCGCATGTTTTATATATATTTGAGAAAAAAAACAACTCAAACATTTGACATATATATGCATGCACAATTCCCAATAGAAAAATACTATAGCATAAACAAACAAGTACTTCTAA